TATAACATCATCCAGCACAGCTGGCACAGCTGGCCCAGCTGGCCCGTGGCCTTGCTGCTGGTGGCACAGGCTGGACTGTGCCAACAAAGCTCCAGATTCAGGAGTGGCAGGGGCACAGCTGAGTGCAGCAGGGAGGTGTTTCCTGAGGAGCAGGGATGTGAGTCTGTCCCGTTGTCCCTGCCCAGGGTGGCACAGTGGGAGTGTGAGGTGGCAGTGCTGGCTCTGTCCCCTGCTGGGAAGGGCTCCAGGTGTCCCCAGGGCCACAGCAGAAGGGTCAGTTGTGGTTCCTGCTCCCCCCAGAGCCCTGACCTGCACCAGGTGTTCTGTGAAAGGCTGGGGGAGGGCAGGGGCAGAACTGGGAGCGTGGGCAGGGATGAACTGAGAACATTCCATCCGTGCTGGTGTGGGCTGGGCAGTGAATCCTTATCTCCCCCCATGCAGGGGGGCTGGGGCAGCCCTGGCTGGGCAGAAATCTCGGTTTTGTGCAGCCAGGGGAGCTGTGCTGCCCTGTGCCTGACACCCCTGCTCGGGCCTGGGACACCTCAGGATTGCACCAGGAACTTCTTGTACTTGGTTGAGTTTCAGCAGGAGGAGCTGGGGGGGGTTTCCTTCGTTCCCTAAAACAAGGAAAGCAAAACTTGATTTTTGTCTTGACAGCAGAATTGTGTTGCAATAATCTGAGAGCAAGTGTTAATTCACCAGTGATTTTTTTTTTTTATGTTGAAGACTCCTGTAATTAAAAAATTGCCATAAGACAGGGACCACATAATGTGGACTTTAGGGATTTGTGTATTAGAAAGGGCTGAACAAACACTGGAAATCCTCAAGTTTGCATGTTTTGTCTGTAACAAACTATTACTTCACTCCAATATAATTTGAATAATTTTGTCATCGAGCTCCAGTAATGGAGTGGAGAAGGGGATCTCAAATACAGGAATACAGGAGATTGAGTCAGTTGCTAAACCTGTTTATTGAAGATAGAAATTATGTCATTATAATGCTGAGGTGGGCTAAAATAAAATCCTGAATTACGACATTGCTCTTTCAGTTTGAATGTATGCTTTGAAATAACTGCTGTTGTGGAAAGAAAATGTCTGGGAGTTGGTCACTGTAATGCACATATTTCAGAGTTACTAATCGTAAAATGGGACATTTTTATTACTCTGTGAGAACAAACGATGAACAAAACCCAAAGAAGCCAAATCTCTGCTGAAGAATGATGTCCCAATCCTGCAGAAATTAACTCATGGATTTGTGCTCGTGTGCAGTAACAATGCTGCTCTGCTGTTTGTATAACAGGACACAGATTTCTCACCCAGACTGGTACAAGTTTAATCCCAGTGGGCAAAATTAACACTGAATACCAGTTCTAGCATGTTTGGAGCTTGTGTTGAAGATATGAGGACTGAACAATTTTGCTGCCAGTTCTGGTGTGTTAATCTATAATAAGCCTCTAGAATTTATTGTAGCAATGAGAATGTGAAGTAGCTGAATATGGAATTTAGTCCTTTTTAAACATTCCCTCAGGGTTGGTATTTTTTTTTTTTTTCTTGCAGACGCCCAGACAATACAGCCAAGCACTAAATAAAAGTAACAGAGTTCATCTTTACTGTGCATTTCTGGATTATAGGTAAGTGGGCTGTGTGACCTGAGCCCTCTGTGTCCCCACTGCACCCCCAGGCTGGGACAGCACAGGGAATTCTGGCTTGCCCTGGCCCCGAGAAAAAGCAAACTCACTGCACAAAAAACTGCACAAAAAAACCCCCAAGAGCATGAGGATCCTGCCCAGACCCCACATCCTGCCCTGCCAGACCCCGAGTGGAGCAGGAGCTGCCAGCCCTGGCTGGGATGGGCACTGGAGCCCCTGCCCAGCCAGCCTGAATTAGTGTGGCAGGCTGGGAGTGACAGTGGGCAGGCTCAGGCAGCACAGACACGCTGATTTGGGGGGTTTGCAGGATTAATGACTTGTTCTCAGGATACAGAATACAGAAATCTGGGTCTGGGTGAAATGCCATAAATGAGATGCTGAGTGTAAGGAAAAGGTGTAGTTATCATTCATTGATTATAAAACTGGGAGGAAATCTCTAGAGACATGAATGATCTGTGCCTTGTCCTGGTGAATATTTTCCTTTACTATTCTCATGATGGAACAGAGGAGACACAAGCAGTGTTTGTGGGGTCTCCAGCCTGAGGTGGCTCCCAGACCCTTTAATCTCCTGTGGAGGACAGTGCCCATCCCATTACCCTGCAGGGACCTGGTTGATGATT